CCATAGTAATGGAAATAAGTACACCTGTCTCTTGAGTGCTACTTCACTTACTCATGCCATTGTACTGCAGCTTCTGTGTGGGCATGTCTACACGTTTATTAATACACTGTAGTTACTGCACATTTAGGTTAGTACTTCCTTAATGAAGTACTAACTGAATGAACAGTAACTACATTTATTACGCAATAGTGCTAGTGCATGTTTTATGATGGTTACTGCACAGTAACGTAATAACAATGTGCAGTAGCTTATTAGCACAGTTATTGACTGACATGCTACTGCACAGTGTTATTAGGCTACCACACAGTAAGCATACCATGTAGATGTGCCATGTATGTCTTGCCTAAGAGCAGGAAAGTGCTGTCAGCTTCTTTCTCTCAAGTTGAAATTGGAGGAATGGGTTATTTATTTGGCTCTTCTGTCTAGGACTAGCCACTGCCAAATAATGAGAAGTATGTTGATGGGAGAGTGAGAGCTGCAAACTAATATGCAATCATAGAAAAGGGGCAGGAGCAGCAAGGGAATGGCTGAGGATACCTTAAATGGTGATATATCGTTAAGTGGAGTCAGTCCTCTTTTTAGTTTGAATTACACATGTGTTGTTGCGTATAGAGCAGGGTTTACATGCAACAGAATGTTTCTCTAACTCAGATGCCATATGAATTTTCACTGATATCAGTCATTGTCTGTGTACAGACATTCATTTCTACTGGAAGAAATTTCTTCCAATAGGAAGATAGCTCAGTATCTGGACTGTACAGCGGTTCCTCTAGCCCCATGTATGGACAGCTTCATAGGCAAGCTCTCCAGGGGGGCACCCCCGATGTTAGGGGAGCCCCATTAATTGACAGCCTGTCTTCTCTCCTAATTGGAAAGGGGCCAGGCTGTCAAGTAGCAGTTGGCAGCTGGAGAAAAGCCTCTGCATGTAGACAGGAGTGGTTAACGGCCACTTAAAGACATTCAGTTTCTACCAGGAGAAGTGTTGTTCTGGTAGAAATCCAAAGTGTGTAGATAGTCAAGGTTTTTCTCTTGCAGCAAAAATGGTTGCTCCAGGGGAGAAAAATAACCTGGGAACAACTAGGCATTAATCACACCCAGGAGAGTTTCTCCTGGGAGACTGAACGCTTTCCCCTGTCTTAACTTCTCCTGGGGACTAGGAGGAGTGGAGCTCTGGGAAAGGCTCCCATGCCAGGCAGCTGCCTGCATCACCCTGCTCTGCTCTAAGTCATCTGGGCAGTGTGGGTGGCAAGCAGAAGCCAGGGCCCCAGCTGACTCAGAGCAGGGCGAGGCAGGCTGCTGTGCCACAGTGAAAGGATGCTGCCACCTTGCCCCCCACTGGAACTCTAGCTGCCTCCTGCACCTTCTTCAGATGGGTGATCCTGGTCTCAGGAAGGCACAGGAGCCTTTCCCCTGACTGCATTACTCCTGATCCACCGGAGGGGTTAAGCCAAGAGAAAGTATGCAGTCATTCAGTCTCCCAAGAGAAATTTTCTGACTGTTATTTAACCCAAGTTGTTCCTGGGTTATTTTTCTCCCAGAGAAATTAATAATTTTTTGCTCCAGGAGAAAAATCTTGGATGTCTACACGCTTTGGACTTCTACCCAGGACCACAGCAATTCTCCCAGTAGAAACTGAACATTTGTACATGGCTATAGACCTCTGCTGCCTACCAGACGTTTCAGAATAAAAACTTTCAACAACCTGAAAAGGAAAAATGTTCACTAATCAGTTGTTTTCTTTAGGAGAAGCAGTTCTTTAAAGACTTTAGTGCATAATACAGTTCCTGGAAATACTGAGTGTGTGCTCAGGAGAATAAGAAGGAATGCTTTAATAAAAGAAATTCTAGGAAGACTGAAATGTTAACTGATGCAAAATGCTGCTTAGATCTGACTTTACCAAAACTGTCAAAAACCATCTTCTGACAATTAATCTGTCCAGTGTGAAAATATGACAGACCAAAGTCATGGGTTTAGATTTGGTTTTCTGACTGTTTCTGCCAGAACTGTCTTTTAGCCATTTTTTGTACTATTTTATGATTGATGCCAGAGATATCTAAGCATGGTTCACACCTCATTTAACTGAGCCTCAAAACACCCATAGCTGTTTAGCCCACAACTGAAATACGTTTACCTCTGGCAAGGGAAGTCCAGTAGTTTAAACCGTACATTAAGACAGGAAATGAAGAATCCATTATCCAAATAAGACTGTGATTGGGAATTAGGTAGACATGATTTGATTGCTTGAGTTGAAATATACTTACTTGAGAGAAATATACTTTCTCGTTGAGAAAATTGCCGTGGAGTCTATATTAGCCATAAATGATCAAGACATTGCTTTTGCAATTTACCCAGAAAAAAAAAGTGAGACTAAAGTTTTGTTGTTGTTTTGGGGTTCTTTTCCCCCAAATCTTTCTCAAGGATGTAGGACCCAATTTCCATTCCTTGTGATGGCATTGTGTATTCAGGTCTCTCTTGTACAGCTTTGAAAATCTCAATTTTTTTTTATTTTAGGAAAACTGAACAAAATTAATTCAGGTCTTTTTATTATTTCTTGGATTCATTTATGCTAGTCTTCTGGTTTCTTTTGTCCAGAGAGTGCAGTTGAGTGCAGAATCTGTCACTTCTGCTGTTTTAACTAGATCTATGTTTTATCTAATTATAATTTCCCAGCTCCAAACATCTCTTCAGTGGCTTCCAATATAATGTTTAAATTATTTTATGTCATCAGCCTCTGAATAGTTCGAACATATTTTTTGTATTCCCTGTGTGTTTCTCATAGCTCATTTAGTTCCATTATTGAAACCTAATATGTGAAAGAACCTTGCTTTATACTCTGATTAATAGGCCCTACCAATAATTCTGCTTCTCCTTTTCTTTTCAGCTGCATGTTAATGAATATATTTAGGTTTCGTACTTGTTTTGCAGTTTCTGCAGAACATGGCATGCATTGCAGAATGGTTCCTTTTCTGGATCTGCTTGGTTGCTTTTGACATTATATCCCTTGCATTGGATACCTTTGTATTTTGTGAGTGTTGCCTTCATGCTGATTCCAAACTAATCTAGTGTGTTATTTGTTTCTCCTATAACCAATCTTGATATGCATTTTTAATTAAATGTACTTCTAATTCTTTCCCTCCTGCTTAACATTTTCAAGGGAGCTACACTGTTACTCTGAAAATATCCACTGCTTTTTGCAAAGTCAAGCATATTTCTTACAACTTTTCTATAGTTATCAGTTTTACAAATAATTCTAATTCATTGATTTTTTTTTTTTTTTTTTTTTTTTTTTTTTTTTTTTTTTTTTTTTTTTTATCTGCTCAGTCGCATGACTTAGCTTTGTTATACAGCTTGTAAGAAAAGAGTCTCACTGGTCTCACCCGACATCTTGTTTCTTGAAAGGAGAATATTCCTTTCCCAAATATGCCAGGGTAAAGATTACACCAGTGCAGTTATTTCTTGATGAAAGAGGAGTAAGCCCCCTTTACACTAGTATAACTGTATCCATACAGTTGGTGGTGGATGGGTCATTTTCGACCTGGAGGGATGTGGGCAGTGGGGTCCCCCAGGGCTCGGTCCTTGGACCCACACTGTTCAACATCTTCATCAGTGACTTGGATGAGGGGGTAAAAAACACCCTGTTCATATTTGCTGATGACACTAAGATGTAGGGGGAAGTGGGCATGCTAGAAGGGAGGAATAGGCTGCAATTGGACCTAGACAGGTTACAGGGGTGGGCAGATGAGAACAGGATAGGTTTCAACACTGACAAGTACAAGGTACTGCAACTGGGGAGGAAGGACCAGCTGCAGACCTACAGGCTGGGGAACTCCCTTCTCAACAGTGCAGAGGCAGAAAAGGATCTTGGAGTCATTATTGATGCCAATATGAACATGGGCCAACAGTGTGGGGACGCAGTCAGGAAGGCCAACCGCGCCTTGTCATGCATCCACAGATGCATCTCAAGCAGGCCCAAGGCGGTGATCCTCTCCCTCTATGCGACACTGGTCACCACTGGACCAGTCACTGGACACCAGTTCTGGGCACCGCACTTCAGGAGGGATGTGGACAGCATTGAAAGGGTTCAGAGGAGGGCCACCCGCATGATCAGGGGTCAGCAGGGCAGGCCCTATAAGTAGAGGCTGAGGGATCTGAACCTGTTCAGCCTCCACAAGAGAAGGCTGAGGGGGATCTAGTGGCCATTTACAAACTAGTCAGGGGGGACCAGCAGGCATTGGAGGAGTCCCTGTTCCCCCGAGCACTCCCAGGAGTGACTAGAAATAATGGTTACAAGCTGGCAGAGGGTAGATTCAGACTAGACATCAGGAGGCACTACTTCACAGTCAGGGCGGCTAGGATCTGGAACCAACTTCCAAGAGAAGTGGTGCTGGCTCCTACCCTGGGGGTCTTTAAGAGGAGGTTGGATGAACAACTTGCTGGGGTCGTTTGACCCCAGTACTTTATCCTGCCATGGCAGGCGGTCGGACTTGATGATGAGCTCAGATCCCTTCCACCCCTACCAACTATGAAACTATACAGGGTTTTTTTCCATTATAACTAGCTCAGAAAAAAATACTTTCCTAAACAATGTTGTTAGTCAATTTAGACAGGTCTTTGTTACCAAAACCTCAAATCTATGTTAAGTGCATGCTTCTATGAGTAAATTAATTGCTTAAAATGCTTTCTCTATGTATGATGCAAGAATTTCTTCTGATCTAAACAATCATGGCCCACACTTAAACTGACTGTTGCAGAAGAGCCAAGATGCTATGTGGGAGAAGGTAAAAATAGGAGGTAAAGAATATTGGAAGGCAGTGTTTGAGGGTAACAAAACTCCAGATCCTTTCTGTCACTCTATCTAGCATTTCAGTTGTGTAACCTTTGGGGGAGAAGATACAGCTTCCCACTGAAGACTGGTAGTTGTTGCTTGTTGGAGCTTCTCAGAGATGATATTTTCTCTCAAAGCCTGACATCCACTCACTCCTGTTTCTCCTCTTTTTCAGAATCTTCCCCAGAGAGTACCTTCTTCAGCACATCCACCTGTATTCCCTTGCAGACCTCCAGCAGGTAAGTTTCTTCAGCTGAACGTACCTTTCTTCTGTTTGCCAACTGGTTCCTTATCCTCTTGGCCAGTGGCAATAATGGCATGTCTTGCCTTGCTGTTTAATCATGCTTGGGTTAGCAAGACATCACTCTCACTCAGAACTTTATAGATAATCATTCAAGATTAGCATATAGGAATATGGCAGCCTAAGAGCAAAGGTTTAGCTCTTATACAGGAAAAGCTTGTGCTTCCTGAGTGAAGACAACAGCATTTGGACCACACAAAGTCAGTTAGTCTTTATGGTATGTGCAGCTGAGAGAATGACAGGGAACCTGTCAATCTGTGTGTAGGCAAGTTTAGGCATTTTGAGCTTTCCCTGTTGAAAGCCAGCCTTAGATTTTGATCACCACATAGACCATCAGTACTGTTTGAATGAGGGATTCATATGGATACACCCATATTTTAACTTTAGCTTTCTTGCATTTTGTTTTTTGTAACTTCAGCCATAATGTTTAGTGTTAATATTTTGTTATATTCCATTCACATTGCCCAAAGGGAAATTGCTTCACAATGTACAGTAAGCCTCAGTGGAGGTGGAAATTGGTGGTTATGGGGCTTTTTACCCCTATAGTGTGAAAAATAATATTTACTTATAGAGTAGCTCTTTCAAGTGGGAATTGTTTCTCTATTCTGTTGTACAGCACCTTGCACACTGGAGAGCTACTCAGGAACAGGGGCTTCTGGTCCTAAAGACTAGAGCAGTGAAAAAATTAATAGTAATAATACTATTGTAATAATAGTAATAACAATAATAGTAATAATGTTGATTAAGTTAATTAGACATACAAAGAGGCCCTTTTAGGTTACTGTAACTATCTGTAACCTCCAAGATATGCACCAGCCTCTAGATTTCCCCGCTCCTGCTGAGCGAGCTACACGAATGCCCTCTTGAGCGAGCTACACGAATGGCCTGTAGTGTAGTATAGCACCTGTACATCACGTTGCAGATGGAACAAGAAGTGGGGTGGCAGTAAGCAAGGAAGGAAGATCAAGCTGTATGTACAAGTAAATATATGGAGGTACATAGCAAAGAGGAGAGACAACAAGGTAGCTGAGTACGTTGAGACAAATTATTCCATATTTAAAAAAAAAAAAAGAGGAGGGTGGGGGGAGGACAGTCATTGGAAGAATAAAACTGTTTGTGGCTTTTCAGTATGTTCTTCTGTCCCTTCTCTAATAATCAAGCCATGAAGTAGCAAGCTGCTTAAATGGAAACGGCAGTCTCCCTGGTGGGCCAGTCTATTAGCCCCCAGTGCCTTTAAGCTGCTTAATCAGTTCCTAACATTGGTAGTAGAGGTTTAGAAGCAATCAGCAGCTTATCAAACTCCCTGTGGGAAGGGGCTGAGCCAGAGTCACAATGCAGTCATTTGTTTAGTGGTTTCTTCCAGCATATTTCCTTCTGTTTTTTTGCATTTGCAGGACCACCCCCCTCTCAAACTTATCATATTGAGGCGCAATGTAATTCAATTACTGTTTCTACTGGGTGGGTTAAATTGGATTTAGCTTTTAATCTAGCCATGTCCTTTTTATCAGCCTGGAGAGGCTCTTTCTCATTTTTAGAGTCTTTAAGTTTGAAATCGGATTGCTTGTTTCCATCAAAGTGAAACCATGATGGGAAGGAGGGGATAAAAAAAAAAAAAGAAGAAAATGAATCTCATAAGAGTAGCATAAAGACATTATCTAATTTCCCTGTTGCACTTTCTCATTGTTCTCCCCTGCTCACTGGATGTTTGCTTATGTTTGTAGTGGTTTGTTTTATTTTTAAATTTCTAAATACTTCCTTGTTTCTTTGTTTTCTTTTTTATTTTACCCTTGCCCATTTTGTCAGAGGCAGGGTTAGCTTTAACACTCTGCCCCGCTGTCATGTAGATGGTGTGTGTTTGGGGAATTAACTAAAAGGCATATTAAAGATTAATGGAAAGATAAGGCATGGTGAGTGAATTAAAAAAGCAGAGAGAGGTAATCTGCAGAAGCAAGCACTCTGCCCCAGTCCAAATTCTGATCTGTTTGCCTCGTTTAAGTCCACTTTAAGCTGCCCAGAAAACAAGGAATCTTTTTCTGCTGAGCAGCTGTGGTTTGTTTTTTTTTTTTTTGAACTGTGATATGAGGGTTTGTTTACAAGCTGAATGGAAATTCATGTCTGCCTGAGATGAAGATGTGGTGCATGATGCTGCTTGAAAGGAAATCTAATTTAAAACTGCTTCCTAGCACAACGGGGTCCTGGTCCATGACTGGAGCTCATAGGTGCTACTGCAGAACAGATAATGCATGCTAGCAATTACCTAATGGCTGGAGCTTTATTTCCCTGTTCCATTAGGACAGGGATCTAGCACAAGTGAGGGAAGCAGTCACCAAGGTTGTTTAAAAAAAATGGAAAAACCAATGCACACTGTCATTACATTTGGAAACATGCCAGACTTGTAATCAGATGATGCTTTTACAGGCTCTTTGCTGATTCACAGGCAGTGCTAATACAGATGTGAGCATCTGGGCAGGCTTGCCTTTTAACAGGAGAGGCAGCAGGTGATATCCTTTATTCATTTAAAGCTGCTTAAGAAAATCAAAGTTTTGCAGCAGAAGGAAGGGCAGGGTGGTACCCTTAAGATCATCTGGTTGAGAAAGGCATGAGCTTGAATAGCTAACAACCTAATTTGGTAGATGCTAGGAATGCAGTTCCACAGCAAAACTGTGCCAGAATGACTGGATGCAGGGAGTGGATGACCTTTGACTGAGGACCTTTTCTCTTTTCTGCTTTCTTCTCTCCTAAACAGGAGTTCAGTAAATGTCAATAGCCTGGAATTGACTGAAGTCTACACTGTGTTTGCATGACTTCTGGGTGGATAGGGGAGTGCTTAGACTCACACTTCTAGGTTCTCAGAGGCTGGGAGGGGGGCATGATGACCGGCTGCATCAAGTAGGGAGTGAGGACGTAGAAAGATAGCTTTTGTTGAATAAGCAAGACAAGGGAACTCATTGACTAAAAACAATAGTGCCAACAAAAGAGGAGAAAAAGGGGGCAGTAGAGTTCTGGTTGCAGAGCAGTAGCTGCAGTAGTTGTGGGGGATTAGGAGCAATGTAGTGTGGGATGCATGGAGGAGGAACAAGACCCATGTCACAGAATACTTAACGCTGAACCAGTTCAAAACAGTACTTGATTTTCTGAGAACACATTTGAACTGTTTAAAGTGGCTTTAAACCAGTTTAACAGGCTTGTACATCTGTCTGCTTCAGTTTTTAACCATATTAGAACTGTTCCAAGTGATGTGTGTCCATGGCGCAGTGTAACAGCTCATCTCTGCTTTCCCTTTGGTTCGGTCTGTGTCCTGTGCCAGATATGACTGTCTTCATAAACCCCTGGGAGTAATCTGGTGTAAATCAAGAATGAGACTGCTGTTAAAACATCACGGTTTTGTCTGTTAGATGTTTTATTCTAGTCTATTCCAACTAATGAAAGCCTTAGTAAGGGGATATTCAGTTACTAAGAGGCAAATATTTATCTTCAAAACATTATGATTATTTTTAGCAGATAAAGTTCTTGTAAATGCTGTTGAACTGACAGCCCTGAAGAAATTGAAGTTCATTATTTGCCTACAGTACTTTCAGTGCCAGTGCACACCTGTCAATATTGTCCCATTTCTGTTCTGGAGAGTCCTCCTCCGTTGGCTGGGAGGTTAGACTGGACTCCATGCCCATTCACTTTTGAGCCAACGGTTTGGTGATGTGCTGAAGCTATTTGTGCAGAATGGACTGAAACCAGCAGTTTATTTCCCCCAAACAGTGAGCTGGCCTTTGGGAGTTGGCAGTTTTTAAACTTTAGTGATTTCTGTGGGTGACCGAGCTTGGGATCCGGGGAAGGGGACGGCTGGGTTGTAGCCACAAACCCGGCACGTAGATGGGTACTTGCAACTGCTGGAGTAGAATTAGGCACAAACGCGTACTGGTTCAAACAAAGATGACTTTACTTACACTGTCACGATGTACAGCGTAGGAAGACAGTTAACTTTAGACTCCAACTTCTGTTACCATCAAACCGAGGAGCTCTTATAAGACGAGATATCTTTAAACTTGAGCATGCAGGACACGGGGGTACATCGGGGGGTTCGTCGACGGGGAGTCGTCGGCGGGTGATCAGACCGCCAGGTTCCACTCCGAGACGAGCAGACGAGCCGGGATTTCCCCACCCGGGGCAGAAACGCCTCCAACCCTTTATAGGGCTAGCGAGCCAATTGCCAGCCGCCACGTAGGAATAATTTGAAACCGGCCAATCAGAGTATGCACATTTGCATATGAGCGGCAGGAACTTTTCCACACCAGGGCTCTCCACCGTGCTGAGAATTCCCCTGTCTCGCCGTGCCTTGTGCTAGAAAGTTCCACTGTACCGAGGCACTCAACTAATCAGTTCTGACAATTTCAACTGGACTTGACTCCAGTGATTTTTCTTTTGCATTAAAAAGATACTCTTCTGGATTCTGAATTGATTTTATCGTCTTGGGGTACAGTGTTTGATTCTCATCCTATCATCCCACAAAAGAGAGAACAAAAATAGAAAGGATACAGGAAATAGCAGCAAAAATGTTTCAAGGCATGATAGACCTTGAATATCAGGATCAATTTAAAAAAATCACGGGGGTGGGGAGAGGGGGAAGTCTATCTAGCTAGGGTTTGTCTATACTAGGACATTCAGGAAAATTGATCCAGATTAATTGAAGGTTTGTATTTAAAGTGTACTACTTTAACTATGTTAACCCCCCACATGGACACTTATTCAGAATTAAAGTGGCCTTAGTTTGATTTAATTTAATTCACTCTGGAAGTAGTTAAATTGGTTTAACACTGCTTTAATTGTGAATACTTATCCACAGAAAATTTTAACATAGCTCAAGTCATCTCCTTTAAAAATTACCTCAAATTAACTTTCCCAAGTGACCTTTTTGAGATAAGACCTTAGAGAGGAGATCAATGC